AGATCTCATTCCCAATAAGAACCAATGGTTTGCCTACATTAAAAGAATGCCTTTAATAAAACACAAGAGAGGAAAACATCTGTTTTCCCATTTGTGCTTGCAAGGTTTGCAAAGACGGAAGGTACACATGGGCAGCCATAAGCCATAAACAGCCCTTGGTAGCCTTCTGCATGGTCCACTGTAGACAGCAGTTGTTCCCAGCTAAATTAGCCCTTACATTGTTGCTGCTGTGATTAAACAAACTAGGATAGTGCACAAGGCCTGTTATCCCAACACAATTATACTCAGGCCAGCCCACCAAGCAGCCATTGGGTAAGCTGTATCATGGTTTAAGTGTGGAAGAAGGTGCATAGGGAGGGTCAACTTCGCATTCACCCTTCTCTATTTAAGTTGCACACCCATATGACCTAACTTCTTCATATTAGAGGAGACTCGCAGAATTATCTTTACGTGCAAGACATATGCTTTAAACCTCCATATCTTTGTATACTGATATTAGGGTATACCTTACAGAATGTGTGCAGTTAGAAAAGGGAATCTCTCAGCTGCTTGGAGCTGTCTGATTGTCACAGCAAGAGCTTTTCATGTCTCTCATTTTTTTTGCAAGTCAGTTTGCTTTGTTTTATGACTGGCCATGAGGAGGTAAACATGTCCTTTGTTTGAAAGTATGGTTGCTCAGACATGAAACTCTAATGGAATCATGTATCTGGAACACTGATACTAATCATTTTCAGCTTGTAATAATGTGGTATCTTCAACAAAATAATAGATCCTGAGATGGAGGAGACAGGTATCTGTGTAAGTGTTTGGGTGTATGGCCTTTCTCCTTCTCTTTCTCTCTCTGTGTAACAAAATATTAGATCCTGAGATGGGGGATACAGGTATCTGTGTAAGTACGGCCTTTCTCCTTCTCTTTCTCTCTCTGTGCGTTGCTTGTCTGTAGATATATACACATATTCAAGTGTTAGTGTAGATTCCACTCATCACTCATAGGTGTGAAGCATCTTTAGGAGGCAAATGGATTTAAAGGCAAAAATATATACCAAGTTGTACAAGCCTTTTTAATAGGAATGTTAAAACAATGACTGAAAATTACATAGAGATGCAGGTATAATGCAACCCTATTTGGGTGTTATGAATCTGCCTACAACCTATTGGGTGGTGGGCAACAGAGTGTTAACGTTATCCCCAGCCCCTGCTTTTCCACCCCATCAGCAAATCAGTAAGACCTCTACAAACTTAATGTAAAAGTTTGCAAAGGAGCCTGAACATGCTTAAAATGCTCCTTTGACCAGGCTTTTTCACTGACCTTCAGTGCAGCTTTAACAATTAATCTCCCCTGCTTCTGCACACACACACAAAAAAAACACCCTTCTTTCTTCATGTTCCTTAATTTCATTTTATGTTTCATTCAGTCTGGGAAATTTGTAGGACAGGCAGTTCAATATGGCCTTCAACATTAGATCTGGCCTTCTTCTGTAGTGTACAGAATTCTTTGGGACAGGAATTTGCACATCATCCCAGCTTTATCTTGCACCGAAGCTGTTAGATTGTAGTATCCTTCCAAGTATATTATTTTGCAACATTATTTATGGGAGACTCAAATCAGTCCCGCCCTGTCCCCATTTGTAAATCAGCACTTTTTACATATGAATGCAACAGGCATTGGGTCACTATGACCTCAGTTGATTTCTGGGATTAGATACACCAGCTTGCTGAGCAGGTGTTTATCAAACCTATATTTTTAGATAAACCTCCTTATGATGCTATGTTGAAGAACTGTACTGGGATGTTCAGTGGCTTATTTATGAAACAATAGGTTTGTAACACAATACCGTGGTGTTCCTCTTTCTCTAGAATTCCTGAAATCTATAAGAAATATAATTGACTGTTTATTATGGTAACTAGGACTTTTGTTGTAATCGAAATGGATGTTGGATTTTGTAGTTATGGTAGTACCCTGCTTTCGCTGGAAATCTAGAGCTAATGATGAAGGCTAATGCCATTTTGGAACCCATCTAGGAAAAGCCAATATGAAGATTTCTTATTCTCTCCAGCCCTGTCATTTGTCCTGTTCTCAGAAGCGTTGCTATCCAGATGTCCTTCCAGACTCCCAAGGGTGAATGAATCTGAGTCTTTTATTTTTATGTATGTATCAATAAATGCACATTAACAATAACCTGTACATGTAAATTTTCATATGTGGCTATTGGGAACGGAATGACTGTAAACCAGAGAGTACAGGTGTAGAGAGATGACAGCAATGATCATTGATATAGATGAATAGGAAGTATTGTGAATGAGCAATTTTAAAATTCTGATTTTATTATCCAGATGGTGCTTCATAAGTAGCTTTTAAATGATTTTAAAGCTTCATTTTACATATAGTTTCCAGGTTAGCTAGAAGAGCAATAAACCAAGTCTACTGATAAAATTAAGAGGGTAATAGGCCTCTTATGGGGTGGAAGGGAAGAACCACATCTGAAAGAAACACTCACATTTAAAGCTTCCAAAGTTTCACTGATGTAGCAAAACTGCATTCCGGCTACAGGCCAGGAGAAATGGAGCTGGGATTTCCAAATAGAGTCCAGCACAACTTGTGACACATCATGCTGAGCACAATTCAGCAACAGCCTAGTATTTGTCCCTGGCCACAAAACGTGTTAAGAATTTATTGGGTTGCTAGTGTATCATGATGCCAAGATTTGAAATGATTGCTCAAACGGTTTGCAAGACTGGTTTGCAATCAGCAGAAAATGGTGTTGGTGTATATCAAGGGCAGAGTTTGAAAAAACTGTGGTTTGGAACAATCAGTTGTCACTGGTACACTGTTCAGAATGGCCAGTGGCCATGACAATAAAATGATTCTGAGAAATGTTGTCTAAAAAAGTAATCTTTCTAAATTCTGGTGATGGACAGGTTACCAGGATGCTGTTTAATGAATTTTCTTGTGCGTTTAGAAGTTTTACTGTACTTACCTAGAGAAAGAGGTTTGCTCCTTAAAACAAAGCATGTAAGTACATTCAAGCTGTTTGATTGATAAAGCCATAAATGAACATTAATGTATATGTACTGTCGAGATTGTATAACTGGAGGAAATAAAATAGGATCACAAGATCATTCATGTCACCTTAGAAGGATACTCTAATGCAGTACAAGATGGCAATTGCAGATCCCTGCAACTAAAATTTTTCTCCTTTTTTGCCATAGAAATATAATCTCAGGGGTGAGGAGCCTTTGGCCCTCCATATGTTGTTTAATTCTCACTAATCCCAGTCAGCAATGCCAGTAGTAATTCATTTGAAAGAGAGAGGGCAAAGGGAACAAATATCAAGGATACTGATCAAGATGTTGCTTTAATGATTTGCTGTAGCATCTATTTCCTGACTTCACTATTTTATTTATCTACTTATTTATTTCATGACCATGTTTCAAACATTCATCTTGGTTACAAAATATAAGTTTTACATATTTATTTATGTCTGGACTGGAATTTCTTATGAGGCATTGTCCCCCACCCCAATTTACAGCTGCAATAATGCTATGATCATCCATAAACATTCCTCAATTGATTAGCACTAATTAGTTCTTATTATTAGAAATCAGCACTTATTAGTCCTTAGTATTGTTCTTTAAAATTTAACCACTGACCAGAGCAATAACCTTTTTTAAAAAAACAACACTTTGGTTCTCTATCTAGATTATAAACCCTAAAAGGTTAGTTTATATGATCAAATCTGACTGTTCTTCTGAAGCAATGTAAAAAACGTGAGGGTTAAGTTTATATGATCAAATCTGACTTTGTTCTTCTGAAGCAATGTAAAAAACGTGAAATAAAGATCAAAAGGAATAGCAACATAACGTAACAAGAAAATGCCTACTGTATTACAGTAGCAGAGAAAAGTGTTTGAGCATTCTTGTAATGAGCTAAATATGCTAAGAATACTTAAATGAAACCCCAAAAAACTGCTGGCAAATTATTCTTTGGTTGTGTTGTTGTATTCATTAAGAACTTCTATTTTTCCCAACAGTTCCCTGGTCCTGGGAGTTCTACAATGGCTCAGTCTGCAGAGAGTAGCATATCTCCATTGTGTGAAATTAATGACATGTAAAACCATATTGATAGTGTGATCCAGAAAACTCTTTCATCTGGTTTACATCTAAATTACTTTGAACTTATGACTCCGTAAATATTTAAGGCAAGATAATAAGTTTTATACCAGTCTATGGCCTGCACCTTTACACCATAGTTAGAAATTTTGTTCATGGAGGGTAACAAGGATGTGCAATGCAGTTCTCCCCTGCAGTTTTCTTCCCATTTCTGAAGAGACTGAGGTGAATAATAGAGGGCCCTGTGATGAGAACACCCAGTCACCAGGATATTCAGGTACATGTGGTTACGTTTTTCTTCCCAGTGAACAAATGATGGGTGGGGGTTACACCAAAAATCTCCAGCCCACTTCCCTCCATTGATATAATTAATTAATGCCTGAACAGGGCGACTGTGCTGCTGTCAATAACTAATTCATTATAGACCTTTTGTGGAAAGCAGTGGAGATGTATCCTATTTTTTTAAAAAAGCATAGCACGCATTGCACAAGGCGAGGGAGGGAACAAGAGTGATGTAATATTTGTGCACACCATCCTAAAGTTCATCCAATAACCACAATGGCTGTAAACCTAGATAGATCTAACCCAATCCAAACTTAGTACTCTCAAATCCTATTAAAATCAATGGTATCAGAGAGTTGCCGCTAATCGAAATTCTGCTGATTTTAATAGGAGTTCTGTACTATTATTTTGCTCTGGATTGGGACAATTCTGGAGAAACCAAGTGCAACAGATCAGGATTGTTCTCAAGGATCATTTTTTATGGTGCTGTATCAGCTTTTGTAGAAGAAACCTTTTATAGAGAAATGTTCTGAATGACCGTTATACCTTGAATCCTCCAATATTTCCATTATCCACAGACGACTCATTGTTTATACAAAATGGTGTTTGGATTCTGTTTATTTTTTTTTAAAAAAAGAAAAGAAATAAATGATTTGTCTGGAATAAAAAGCTATATTTCGAAAGTGTGGGTGTAGGCAAGTGTCCCTACATTTCACACCATTACACATTTTATTTTCAGGATACAAATTTACAGTAAGACTAAGTTTAAAATTATTATGTTGGTATCACATCTGATTGAGCACCAAAAAGGCAGTTGAAACATCTGTTGTTTTTAATGATCCACTCACATAGGACTTTCTCACCTACCCCCACAAAAGAACTTGGGGGGGGGACAATCATCAGGTGTTTCTCTATATGTCCTTGCTGAAATTAGTAGAAGTTGCACATGGACACATTGGACAAATTGTGTTGTGTACAAATGGACTCCTGTTAAGATTGTGCCCATGTATGAAAAACACATTTAAAGGAAGAGCAGCAAGTGAGATGGATAGTCACTGGGCCTAATTCTGCTTTTTGCACAGTAAGATCCTGATACTGTAAAAGAAGGCTGCAGGTATCAATTCTGACAGTACACTTTGCTCAAATCACACATCAATCCCACCCACCCCCACCCAGAAAACAACTAAAAACTGACAATTTTATTAATGTGTGTGTGGCTTTTTTTTAATCTTGTGCATTGGATTTAAACAGCAAACTGTGTGCACTTCAACTGTTATCACAACGTGGTCAAGAGGTCTGTGTCTTTCATCGTTTACACACATTTGTTCATTACAGTATATTATCAGGCTAGTGAAAACCAGGGGTGTGGTATGGTAAGCAGTATTGATAGTGCACCTAGATTTTATATTATTTAACTTGAAAATATTTCTCTTCTAAGATTCACCCTTTTCCTCGATAAAAATAGTGTTCACCAAACGTTGGTGGTGCGCACGCACTACCAGTCACTCTTTGCACCACACCCTTGACCGGAACGCATGTTCTTGAGATTGTTGTGTTAAAAAGTATTACAAAAAATTTCCATACAAAAACTATTTTCATAGAAATCTTGCATTTCCACAAATAAACCCAAACATTTTCCCCCCGTGTTTCAGGGGAAGGGAAAAACTGCTCAAGAATTTTGTTCATTTAAACACGGTTGACTGTATTGAGGAATGCAGTCTATTTTAAAGTTCTACACATCCCCTTCTTGGTACGTGACCCCGTCGTATTTCCACTATTAGCAAGAGTTCCACAGGCTCCAGGGAGTTCAATTCAGACTGAGAACAAGAGTTCCCCAAACCCTCTCAGGTCAAAAACCACACACCTCAATTATGTTAGATATGCTCTTTGCTTCACAGTAAAACAATTGCTCAGAGATAAGCAACATAATGTACATCATTTTTTTCCCTTTAACTGAGGGAAATTTGTTGTGTCATCAATAATACGGCCCACTTCCTTTGGGTTCTTCCACAAAACAGTTCCAGTGCAGATGAATTATATACTCTTCTACCACCTGACAGGATTTTATTTTTATCAGTGACAGACACAGTCAAAATGCAGATAACATTTCCTCTAGTCATTCTTCTATGGGGCAAGGGAAGGGAGGGAGGATTCCATTTTCATTGTTTTAACGTGATCACTGAATAAGCTCATATCAGCTGGCGGAATGGTGAAGTCAACTTCAGCCAGCAAATAGAAAGTCTTCTATGCTTGTGAGCACATAGCACAGTCTCTTTTGCCTCTACTAGAATTAAGAGCTATTATTTCCAAAGACTCCTCTAGTAGTTAGTTTCTGCAGTGGTTCGGTTGCTTCTCCAGCCCCTGGCAACAGATGAACTTCAGAGAGGAACTTGCCATTTCTCACCGAGACTGCTCACACAGCCATAAAACTCACACAGAACTTCCATTCATTAAGGAATGGTGGAGCCCATGACAAAAGGGTGGAATGCCCACGCCCACACCCCTCCCTCCCCCTTATATAAACGTGGCTGACACGTGATGCTTGTGATTTGAGTCTGACCTTTGCAACTGCTTAGATCATAGAGTCTCTAGTTCATAGACACAGCGGCATGAGGTAACTCATTTTATTTTGCACAGGTTGCATATTTCCACAGGAAACATTCTCGCAAAAGTTGGTTTGGGGGGGAAAGAAAAGAAAAGAAAAGAAAGACAACAGTTTGTGCTTGGGGGTAGTTTGGTGTCCCAGCTCTATGCCATGGTCTCTTTACCTGGCAATCTTCTGTCATTAAATGTGTGCATGTTGATAACCTCTTCCGTTTTCACAATAACGGGAGCCTGTGGCTTGTGTTTTAACCGACGTTGACACTTCAGAGACATCCTCAGCTCCTCCACCATGGCACTACAGAAGGACCTCTACAGGGGAAGTTTGAAGAATACAAAAAAATGTATAAAAGAAGAAATGAGGAAACCATTATTATTATTGTTATTTCACAATTTACATTTTCAGAAGACTTTATGATACTATGTACTAGTTTTTGTTTTGTTTTGTTTATGTTTGTAGCAACACCAGCTTGACATTAAAGCAAATAGTCTGGTAGTACCCTTACCTACTGCAGGTAACCAAGCATGGGAGAGGAATAGGAGGGATAGGGGTTGTTAATTCCATTGAAAGCAGAAGGATGCTGCAGAAGGACACACACACACACACACACAAACACACACACACACACACACACACACCCCTGTGCTATCCATAGGGGCTCTCCATATGAGTCAAGACTAGAGATGGGGACAACTCACCATTTTGGCGAGTCATCCTGCTTCATGAGTTGTCAAAAGTTGAAGCATGAAGTTGCCCCATGAAGTGACAAATAACAAATATATTTGTCGATTTGTGGGGGGTTATTAAAAAAAAACACCCTGCCACCCCGCTGCCACCACCACCAAACTGCTGCCACCCCCGGTGCCACCCTCCCACCACCATGCCACTGCCACCCCCTCCCTACTCTAAATGAAGCCGCAGTCACCATCTTTGCAAAGGGCAGCCAGTTTCCCTTTTTACATGCTGTGGCTGTGGAGGCCTGATGAAGACCTTGGAAGTGGCAGCAATGTTTATGGTAAGGGGGTGTTGGAGGCATGGGCGGGACTAAGGCAGGGAGAGGAAGGGGTGGGGGCAGGACCTACCTCTCTCTTCAATCTCCACTGCCACCCTCTTTAGAGACAGCAGCTTGGCTTTCCTTCCAGGTGCTAGGGCTGCTGTCTCGGCACATGTACACATGTATCAGCTGACAGACATGCACATGGGCAGAGACAGTACTCCCGGTTCCCAGAAGGGAAGCCCAGTCACTGTTTCTAGAGATGGAGGCAGCAGACGATGAGGAGGAAGGACTAAGTAGGGAGGTGACAGGGCAGTGGGAAGGGGCAGGGCATCGGTTTTGATGAAAACAAGGTGCCAAGCAGAAAAAAGTACACTGTGTTATTTCATTTTGACAAAATGGCATACCCGAAACGAACTACAAAATGAATCAGCTTGGTTCCCCCCCCCACGTTCATAGTTCAGTCCATGCCCATCTCTACTCACTACTAAGAAAACTATTGCCAAGCTTCAAAAGTTTCCTGTCCTTCAGCCAAAGTCTCTAACAACATTCACTAAATATGCATCTCATAATTCAGCTGATATTCTAGAAACATTTCATTTTCCAAGACAGATAGAATGATGCTCATTTTATATCCACATGCCAACCAATACTCATGTCTGAAGGTAACTGTGTTACCGCCACAGCTTGAACAACTAAAAGAGTTTTTTTTACAAATACCTTCAGTTTATTATATTTATAGTTTCACTATAACATATATTCATTTTTTTTAGAAAAATTGTACTTAATATGCAATGGCAATTCAATATCAAGTGACGTTCCGATAAATATATATTAAAACCAAAGAGTCAGAAATAAAAATAAAAGTGGAGGAGTTGGAGATCATATATTTTAAAAAGAGCAAATCATTTAATATGGAACAGAATTTTGTAGTAGGCATCCTTCAGTCTCAAGAGACTATGGTAACATGCTCTGAATAAAGGTCTTGGAACAGTGTCTAGTGTGGCTGAGAAGGCCAATTTGAGAGTGACAATCCCTTCCACACTGAAGACAAATGCAGTCTGTCTCCAGTCCAGTTCTGATTTTGCTGGTTTCAGGACTGTCACTTTGCCTCGGCCTGCTGGACAAGGGTCTCTTCAAATTGGGAGAGGCCATGCTACACTGCCTGCCTCCAGAATGAAAGCTTTGATGTCAAGGTTTCCCATCTGTTGAGGTCCATTCCTAAGGCCTTCAGATCCCACTTGCAGATATCCTTGTATCGCAGCTGTGGTCTCCCTCTGGGGCGATTTTCCTGCACTAATTCTCCATACAGGAGATCTTTTGGAATCCGACCATCAGCCATTCTCAAAACATGCCCAAGCCAACGTAGACATGTTTCAGTCATGTATACATGCTAACAATTCCAGCTCATTCCAGGAATATACTATTTTGAACGTTGTTCTGCTAGGTGATGCCAAAAATGATAGTGGATTAATGCAATTTTAAAACATTAAACAATTTCTTTTGTGTAAAAGTGAGCACCATCTCAGAATTAAATTAGATAGACATCTGTTAAACAATGCATAACTAGTACTGATCAGAGAAAACATATTAGAAAAAGGTAACAATATTGTGCATCCAAAACACTGGGGTGGCTCATGGTTCAAAGGGGGTCACTTCATCACAAAATTTTGTTATGGGTTCCTTCCCAGTCCACTTTTGAGATACCTGTGCCCAAACTGCTATCCAAAGTCACAATATATCGAAATGATGTGAAATGTTATTTCCATTTCACCCAAGTGTGGAGACTGTGACAGAGTGTTTACTTCAACTAAAACTAGTTGTGACTAACTCCTGAGAAGCAAAATGAGAAATACAGGTGTTAACAAGCATGTGTTAGACAATAATACTTTTCAGATGAGTACAACCTAGAACATCTGAGAAATACACATAAAACAGGAAAAATGAAATAGCCAAGATAGTCCCAATCTCACGGAATATTCACACATCATAGTCAATGGTCTATGTACGTCTAAGTATATGTATAGACAGAAGCCCTATTCAGGTGTTATGTCTGAAAGTGTGAATCAGTAAACCATGAGTGAAGGGGTGCACACATCAGCCCTACCCACCTCTCCCTCACCACTCAGTGATCAGTGGGAAAGTCTGTTGAGGTGTAGGTAAATGTGTTTTTCTCTGCAGGCTTTTGCACTGAACATTTGAAGGTTTACCGTACTTCCAGCTGGGGTCTGTACATGAAAGGAAGATTCTTACGTGCTTCCTCACATACTGTACCTATCACCCATTTACCCCTTCACGTTTTCAGGGGAATATGCCTGAATAGGACTAGACTGTATGAGTGTACAAGTCAGCAATCTGTGTGCCCTAATCGTGCTTCCTACCCCTTTGGTACATTGTACCTGGATGTATTTTTATATCTTCTTATTTTATGCTTTATTTGAGGAGCAGGTAAGTTGACCATGTTTTGGGGATATGCAGGGTGAGTGGGGTTCCAGGATATATTATTATTTATTTAAATTTTATTCATTTTCAATAGGGATAGGACTGGAAATAGGGGTCTGGGGGTCTGGGGGAGTAGAATGGGTAGGGGAAGGGTAAAATTCCAGTGAGTGCAAGGGTACTTTTACATCCATTTATACAATTCTATTAGGGACGTGGTGGCACTGGGGGCCAAACCGCAGAAGCCTGTGCTGCAGGGTCAGAAAACCAAGCAGTCGTAAGATCGAATCCACGCAATGGAGTGAGCTTCCGTCACTTTGTCCCAGCTCCCGCCAACCTAGCGGTTCTAAAGCATGTAAATGCGAGTAGATAAATAGGTACCATCTTGGTGGGAAGGTTAAAAAAAAAGGCGTTCCCTAGTCACGTGACAACGGAAACCGTCGTTGGACAGGTGCTGGCTCTATGGCTTGAAAAGCAGGATGAGTGCCGCCCCCTAGAGTTGGACACGACTGGACTAAAAATGTCAAGGGGAACCTTTACCTTTACAATTCTATTAGAATAAATAAATAACAAAAAAGAACAACTTAACAGATTTTACCAGAATTACTATCATTACTAATCTCTCCATCCCCTGACTGGAGCTTCACTTTCTTCTTTTATCTATGCTTTCCAGGCCATATTTCGAATCCAGCTATAAAATCATTCCAAATTCTTGCATCCTTTTTAGGATGACTATGTTTCTGCTTTCTTCCAAAGTTTCCCATATTATAGCTACAGTAATTATGTGTATTATCAAATGTTACATTTCTTTATCTACAATCTCAGACATAATACTCAACACAATTCCAGTTTAAATGGTATCTCACAAAATACATTTTTCCCAACATTTCATATACTAATCTCCAAAAAGTTCCAATGATTTTCTGTTTCTCTACCTGTCCACCCAATATGGTTGAAAGTACCCTCCTATATTTTACATTTTCAACACTTATTAAAAAACATTTCTTCTTGATTTTCATACTAGAAGTCTTGAAGGCAGATAGTGTCCAATTTTAATTTCTTTATTTGTTCATAAATCATTTTATGTCTTTGGGTTGAATTTAAACTGTTTACATTATCTAAAAACATTCTGAGTTTTTTCTCTTTCATTTTATTCATTTTTATTTTTAAGGTTTTCTTTCCTCTTCTTAGATCCTCTTGCTTCCATGGTGGGCTTTCCTTTGGCATTTCCCATTTGGTTTTCTAGCTCAATTTCGGATGTTCCTTCTGAATTTGGTCCTGATGGTCCACTTGATTGCTTCTCTTCCTATTTCTCATTTGTCTTTTTTCTCTTCTTTCCTACCCAGCCATTCCCCCCCTTTTTTTTTCATAAAGTCTTCTGCCTTCATTGTTGAATTAATAGAATATCTCTGCAACTGGAATTGGAAAGAGACACCTTCAGGTATCAACCACTTATATTTAATTGAGTTTGTTCTCAGGAAATATGTCAACTTGGTGTATTGTCTCCTTTTCTGTCTTATTTGCAATGGGATATGTTTCAAAATCTTAATTTCTTTTCCTTTTATAATGGATCTTTTATCTTGCCTATTTCTTGGAACTTTTTCTCGAAATACAATTCTTGTAAATTTAACATGAATTTCTCAGGGGAGTTTATTATTCCTGGTGTATGCTGTATTAATTCTTCATGCTGTATCTATGCCTGAATAGGACTAGATTGTATGAGTGTACAGGTCAGCAATCTGTGTGCCCCAATCATGTTGAATGGCATGTGTGAATAATGGAAGGAATGTATAGATAACGTGTCTCTGTTCACATCTACCCAGACCATTCATAGGTTGAGCAAGATGAGTAAGCCCTCCATCAGTGTCCTCATTATCC